CAAATCCTACCATGTGAATTCATGGATTTTTTTTTTCACATTCTGTCTCTCACAGTTGAAGTGTACCTCTGGTGCAAATTACTGACCTCTGTTATCATTTTAAGTGGGGGAACTTGCACAATCGGTGGCTGACTAAATACTTTTTTGCCCCACTGTATCTGGTGGCAGATATTCAGCATGGTGTGATCATAGTGGGATCTTTTTCAATTTACAATTTTAGTATATGTTTGCATTAGTATAAATTTAAACTCAAGGAAATGGGCGAAAAACGTTCAAGTTTAGCCCAAAAGTGTCAAGTTCCTACATAGCTGCAGATTAGAGAGACTTGCTTTTAGAAGGGCATAGGTATCTGTTAATACATTATTCCTAATAGATAAAATAAATAAATACATCTTTTTCTCTACTGTACATTTCTATTGTCTAATTATCACAATCTTAGCTTCAATTATGACGTATAGATGCGAAGATTAAAGCTTTTCAAGCTTGAAATCCTAATGAAAGATTAATGGCACTTAAAAACAAAGAATTCTGCAGTGCTTACAATAAGGTTCAATTTTAATATATCCAAAAGCAAACCTTGATTTCTTTTTAGACTTGATTTCAGACTTCTAAATTACTCATTGGTCATTCGTGCACTTTTGGAAAAATGTTATATTATAGGAGTGGCAACTTTTCTTAGGTTCTGGATGTAGTTTTAAAGTTTTGCGTGCAGCAGGTTTTGGTGGTAGTGCTTCAGCGTCTCTTGCTGTCCTCAGTGTCACCCTGCATTCCTCCGTTGCTCATTACTGCCCTCGCTGCTGAGCCAGCCCTGGCCTGAAGAGTTAGGAGATAAGACCTGTTAACACCACAACTTCCTGTGGATGTATATATATATCTGGCTTTGTCCTGGAAAAGATGGCGACCGAGGAATGCTTTGGGCAGCTGGACAGTATGACATTGATGGTCGGTGTAAATGCTTGAAGTAATCTTTAGACCTTTGCTTGGCTGTACAGATCAAAATGTTCTGGTGAACTGTTTGTACCATTGATGCTATTTGTGATTAGCACAGACTCTAAACAAGTTGCTTTCTTTTGCTGTTTTCTTGTGATGAATTAGGGCATTGTTTTCCTTAGCCCTCAGTTGCAGCACTAATTTTAATTGTCTCTGCATATAAGAAATTCAGTCTGAATATTGAGCCTCAAAGAATGACATGTGAGAGACTTCTGCCTCTGCTTTTTTATTTGTTTGTTCCTTACTGGCATTTTTCTCAGGTAGAAATTATCCAGCAATGTGTCAGCCTATTGGTATCATCCGACCCTCGTGTCAGACTTACATGGATACAAAGTTTGGACTTTGTTTTCAACGGGCACATTACCTGCATTTCCTAACAGCTGCATTTCCATGAATGCTCAGGAGCAATCACAGGATATAATATAGATGTTCTTTGTCTGCATCGCAAATGATATCCTCATTGTGTGGTTACGCTGGTTTTGTGTACACCTATGAAGGAAATGTAGTTGCCAGAAAATGCCATCACAAAAATAACCCCCAATGAACAAACACTTGGCAACAGTGGGAAGCAAAAGCTCCCTTTTAACAGAAAGAAATATTCAACAGAACCAGTCTCAGGGAGGACCATCTTGCTTTAAAATATACAAACACACGGGAATAACAAGTGACAGGACCGTAGGTTTCACAGATGCAACAAGACAATCGGTGTTTCTTTTACCTCACCTGCCAGTGCTCTAGCTCTATGACGGGTCTGTGCCTGGCTCCCAGTTTTACCAAAACACAGTGAATGCATGGTGTAGCTTGTTATACTTTAATACAATGCAACTGATAAACTGCTACTCTGCTTCTAGCTTGCATTACACTGAACTGATAGGGTGTGTCTGAACATCACACAGTGTTTGCTTCCAAATATTTTTTGTCTCATTCATTCATCCCGTTCGTCGGAGAAAACCCCCCAATAAGAACAGAAAAGATTCAAATACGTGTTGGTTTGTTTTTCTGCTTGAGGAGACTGATTCTCAGTGGTTTCTATAGTTTTAGGCCAACTCTAATTGAATCCTGACTCATGACTGCAGAAATGAACAGTCTTGCCATGGTAACAAGGATTATTTGAAGCCATCTTCCAAGGCTTCCAGTTCTTTTAAAGCAGTATCCCACAGAGGCAAAGATACATGTGGCTTGCTGGCTGAATTTAGAGAGCAGTTATAAGAATGAATCTGTGAGCACCCTATCACTCCTTTGTAATATGTTACATCATGCTAGACAAGATATTAGGTATACCTGAAATGTAGAAATGTAAACTTTAACCACATAAGATGCTTCTGCTTGCAGCAATAAAGCACCTCGTGTAAGTCTTTCCCTGTATGTTTGTCTTGAAGATGAATCCTTACTGTTCTCTCATGTGTGGGCAGGTTATGAAAGTCTGGAGGACAACTACGTGCAAGACAGCAAGATGGGCTTCGTCATCAATGCCATCAATGCGATGGCCCACGGGCTGCACGATATGCACTCTCACCTTTGTCCCGGCCACGTGGGGCTCTGTGATGCCATGAAGCCTGTTGATGGAAGCCACTTACTGGAATTCCTTCTGAAGACATCCTTCACAGGCGTGTCCGGGGAGGACATATGGTTCGATGAGAACGGCGATTCTCCTGGAAGGTAAACCCACTTTTCTTATTGTTTTAGGTGAAAGGAATTTTTTTAGACATTTTTAGAAAAAGTCGTTTAATTAAGACAGCATTAACTGACCTTCGGTTTCACCCAGCGGAGGGCAGTGAACCTCCAGTGCTTAAAGGGAAAAAATCCAATATATTCACTATTCAGTAACAGAGAACAACTAAATTAAAATTAAAGGTGATTAAAACCGGGATAAATGTAATGTTTTAAAAACTGCTGATAAATGTAAATTGAGGCACTACGATATTTTACCCACTAGCAAGACACACCATTAACCAGGGTACACCTTGCTAGTGGGTTGGACCAGATTTTGGTCCATGTTGACACAATATTATCACACAGTTGCTGCAGATTTTCTGTACTTCTACAATGAGAATCTCCCATTCCAACACATCCCAAAGGTGGTATAGTGGACTGTTGGACTTTTTACTCACTGGGTATTTCTCTTTTTGGACCAGTCTCTGTAAACCCTAGACATGGTTGTGTGGGAAAATCCCAGTAGATCAGCAGTTTCTGAAATACTCAGACCAGCTCATCCGGCACCACAAGCCACACTAGGTTCAAAGTCACTTAAATCACTTTATTAAAAAAAACAGCAGGTTCTCTACACGACTAAATGCACTGAGTTGCTTCCATGTGATGCGGCTGATTAGATATATGTTTTTGTGAGCAGTTGAATAGGCATCTATAGAAAAGTGGTTGGTGATTATTGGCTGATCTAAAGCACAATCGTGATCATAACAGCACACAACTTCCAGTAAGTAAACCACATACAGTATTCTCATGTAAGTCCGTTCATGTCATTAAATCACAAAGTTTATGGTTAAGCCGTTGAGATAAAGTTAAATATTCTCCAAATTGTATGTAGTAAAAGGGTCAGTGACTTCTTTTATGCTGAGTGAGTATGATCCGCCTAAGAAATACCAGTAAACATAACATCTATCAGCAATGGTGAAAGATCTTCCTCTGAGCCATTTCTTTCTTTCCACAATCAGGTATGAGATCATGAACTTTCAGCATGTGGAGACCAGTGTTTATGATTACATCAACATCGGCTCCTGGCACGAGGGCATGCTGAGTATCGATGATGACATGATCCAGATGAACCGCAGTGAGATGGTCCGCTCTGTCTGCAGTGAGCCCTGCTCCAAAGGAGAAATCAAGGTTAAGCTCGGATCTTGTACATCTTGTGATCAAACATCCCTGTTACATCTTTGTTATTCAGTCTCTACGTCACACTTGTATGAGGTATTTGTGTAAAGTTTTTACAAAACACAGTAGGCCCCACATTGTTCATCTCGCACATAAATAGTTAGCTTGGCAACATTGTACCTGAATGAATTGAAGTAACATTGTAAAGAAAAGTGGGTCAAACGTCTGCCACAATGATGTGAGGGAATTATAAAGCCATGCAAAGAATGATGACTTCAAGTTATTGCTTCATAAACACGGCTCTCCACGCTATTAAACCATGGGGTTTATACAGTGCTTCTGCATTTTTGCTTAGTTTTCATCAAATAAATGATGACATGGTGTGACATATCATGTGGTGTTGTTAATCTGAGGTTGTGTTTATGTTTGGTGTTTTTTCTCATGTCTTTTTCCCTATGCTGAACCTTTCTATCTTTGTTTTTACTGTGTTGAAAACAAATATTTAAATATTTATGTAGATCTGGCCTTCCTTGGACATCAAAATATATCCATGATAAATATAGTTACTTTTAGAAGAGTATACTTTTGATTACCTTGCATGTTTTATGAACCAGGTGATAAGGAAGGGAGAGGTGAGCTGCTGCTGGATCTGCACTGCCTGCAAAGACAATGAGTACGTCCAGGATGAGTTCACGTGCAAGGCCTGTGACCTGGGCTGGTGGCCTGACAAAGAACTGGAAGGTTTGCTTGCACTCTTCACTTATCCGCTTGTGTAAATCTTTAGCTGCTTTAAATACTGTGCAGGGCCTGGCACATGACCCCACTGGATTTTTTTTAGAGATTAGTTAAATAGGAAAAAGGGAAAAGGAAATTTAATCAACCTCCCAACACCTCTAAAGGTCAGTTTTTTACATGTTATACTTGGATGTTTCAAAGGGTCCTAATATACTATGACGTGTGTAACAGTCCTCACAAAAATTATACACACTATATTAGTAAATCAGTGAACAAAGAGGTGATTTTATAGCCTATTTCACAAAGGAATCTTAGTAAACACAATTTGAAGCTTAAACAAAAAAACCCCAAACAAACAAACACCATCTTCTGGTCTCTCAATTAAAAAGTAAATAAATGCAATAAACGCATTTTAGATAATGTCTACCAGCTTCTTGAAATCACCAATGCTCCAGTCAGTATACAAAAAAAGATCCTGGACAAAGTGATTCATCTGATCCACACAGCAAATTTTGCTGCTCTGCAGTTTTGTCATTTAAATTGAGATTAATTTAGGTTGCTTCAGTGGCCACAGGGTATGTTTCTGCTGCATGACTGATGCTTGCAGAGATAAGAAGAGTTTCTTCTGGCTTATCTGAGGCAGTTTTTTTTTTTAAAGTTAAGTTCCTCCAAGCTTTTACTTCTCCTCCTCTTACCTGCACCCTGTACAGCCTGTCCCGCTAAGATTTTTGCAGCGCTATTTCACAAACCTGTTCTGTCCTATTTTCATTGCTTTCCCATGACACCTGAGAGCCATTCATCATCTTCACCATTTCATCCGACAGCAGCCCTAGTTCACTTACCACTCTTCTGGCCCACTTTCAAAGGTCTTCTGTGGCTTTCAAAGACACTTCCTTAATAGGATCATCCTTCCTCCATGCTGTTTCATTTTTTATTTTTACAGCCACAGATGTTTGGATACACATGAAAACAGCATAATGCGTAGCACAAAGAAGGATATAAAAATATTCTTGTGCACTTTTCTAACCCTACCTCTTGGCATTGTACAATAAATAAATAACACAACATGAATTAGACATTCAAAGTGTGTTCTCAGCATGAGGCAGAGAGGCGAGCTTATTTGGATCCATGAAAAAGCAGTTAGTTATTTTGTCCTGCTGCACCAGCACCCCTCCTCTGCTGGCTGCAGCCCAGCCTTGCCATGGCTGAGTAGAAAGAGGCTTATTTATAGTTGAACTAAAAACCTACTTTGAGACTTACTGTATTTTCTCAGGCAAAGATGGATTTTATTAATTTCTAATGTGTCCATACAGTACAACGTTAATATATTAGACTTTTCATTGAAAATGACCCTTTATTTAACTACGTTTCTCTAAATAATCATGAATATATCCCCAGAGCTGGTGCTAAAGGGATAAAAAATGTATAGAGTTGGCCAGCTTTTAGTATACTGTGGCTGTGTTTTTATAACCCATGTTTTTCCCCTTTACAGGCTGTGAGCCGATCACTCTACGCTATCTGGAGTGGAGAAATCCAGAGTCCATTATCCAAGTGGTCTTCTCCTGTCTGGGCATCCTGGTAACATCATTTGTTACCTTCATCTTTGTCTTATACCGCGACACACCAGTGGTCAAATCCTCCAGCCGGGAGCTCTGTTACATCATCCTTGCAGGGATCTTCCTGGGCTATCTGTGCCCTTTCACTCTCATCGCTCGACCCACCGTGGCCTCTTGCTACCTCCAGAGACTCCTCGTCGGACTCTCAGCTGCCATGTGCTACTCAGCCCTGGTAACCAAAACCAATCGCATCGCTCGCATCCTGGCGGGCAGCAAGAAGAAGATTTGCACGAGGAAGCCGAGGTTCATGAGCGCTTGGGCTCAGGTGGTCATCGCCTTCATCCTGATAAGTGTCCAGCTCACACTGGAAATTACCCTCATCGTCATGGAGCCTCCTGAACCCGTCAAATCTTACCCCAGCATCAGAGAAGTCTTCCTGATCTGCAACACCAGTAACCTTGGTGTTGTAGCTCCACTGGGCTACAACGGCCTGCTGATCATGAGCTGTACCTATTACGCCTTTAAGACCCGCAACGTCCCTGCAAATTTCAATGAGGCCAAATATATTGCCTTCACCATGTACACCACATGTATAATCTGGCTGGCGTTTGTGCCAATCTACTTTGGCAGCAACTACAAAATCATCACTACGTCCTTTTCTGTGAGCCTCAGCGTGACTGTAGCTTTGGGGTGCATGTTCACTCCAAAGATGTACATCATTATCGCCAAACCTGAGAGGAACGTGCGCAGCGCATTCACCACCTCCGATGCGGTGCGCATGCATGTCGGCGACGGTAAAATTGCTTGCCGAAGCAACAGCCTGTTGAACATGTTCAAGAGGAAAAAGAACACTGGAAATGGCAGGTAGGTTCATTAATTGAGTCTGTGAGTCCTGCTCCTGAGGCACCTCAGGGATGCTGGTTTTACTGTAATTCCCTCTCAAAGGGAACGTGATGTCTTACTGTATTCACTTTCCTAGGGACACCTGTTGTAAACTGTGACGGATATAGGTCAGTACCCAATTCACACAGCCAGTTCAGCCCTTGATCTGTTATTAAAATTAAAACAAGCATCTCTGTGTGCTAAGGGATGGCAAATTAGATCCCTAATACAGAATGCAGGGTTTCTCCAGGGCTTCAATAGCATTTAAGGTGTTTCTTTTGAGATGTTATATTCAAAACCTGTAGATACCCTGTAATACTGACAATACTTTTTAAAAAATCAAATCAAATAAAAATAATGACATTAGTTTTTTACATGAAGCAGAAATGCTCTTTCTGTCTCCACTTTTCTGGGTTCCTATGAAGTAACAGCCGTCTTTATTTTGTTCATAGTTCTAATGGAAAGTCTGTGTCATGGTCTGAACCAGGTGCAAGACATCCTCCAAAAGGGGATCACATGTGGCACAGACTGTCAGTGCATGTGAAGAGACAGGAAGCAGGTTCCAATCAGATGGCTGTCATCAAACCCTTAACTAATACCTACCATAACACGGGCCTGGAATTCTCAGACCTCAGCACTAAGACTTTGTACAATGTGGCTGAGGAGGATGAGAGTGACCCTGTCCATTATAACTCCCCTGACACTCCCCCTATGGTGGCCCACGGGCAAATGCCTGCCAGTGGGCTGAAAAAAGATGTGCACGAGGAAGTGGAGCTCTATTCCCCCGAGCCTTTGCAGCAAAATAGCATTATCCCCCCCAAACATGTTGTGATGGACCGCCTGCAAGAGGAGGGGGTGGTGAGCAAGTTCAACAGTGACATGCCTGAGATCCGTGATATGATAAGCATGCCTGAGGCTGTCAGTGGTGGGATGCCAGTGTACCATCAGGCTCACCTCATCCAGCAGGAGCCTGTCCTGCCTGTGCAGCTCGACCCATTTGATGAGGAACCTGTCTTCCCTTTAGAGGAGGAAGAAGAGGAGGAAATGAATGAGCAGTTTGGCCTTCTCCACGGCTACATGTACAACAACTCCCAGATTCATGACGAGGAGGACTTTGTTGAGGTCAAATTAGCAACAGAGGACTCTCTGGCTCTGATGCCCCCCTCGCCTTTCCGTGATTGCACCGGTGCTCTAGTAAGCCCCTTTCCCAACTCGCCAGTGTCCGAGTCGATTTTGTGCACACCTCCCAATGTCACATACGCCTCCGTCATCCTCAGAGACTACAAGCAAAGCTCCTCAACTCTGTGAGGGCACGCCCTAAATGTTGACGCTTGTACTATAAGTTTTTATGTGTTGTATATGATTTTACATAAGGAAAAAGTGATCCCGTGGTCTGTCAAGTCATTTTTCACTCCTAATAGCTTTTAAATGATAAGGGTGAGACATACTGTAAATTTCTAATATAAGCTTTTAGAGACAAAAATAACTGTATATATATATATTTATGAAATATTGTTTGATAAATGTAGATTAGGTATCAATCTGATTAGTTTTTGGACTTTAAAGGTAACTTAATGAGCATAGCTAATATAAAATTATTCACTTTAATAATAAGGAAATTTGTTTTGTGTGACACATTGCGTGTCATGACCTTTGTCGGGCAAATGTAGAGGTTTAAAGCAAGAGTTGTTCTTTTAAAAAAACTCCCTCATTGACTTTCTTGGCGAGGAATAGAAAACTAGGTCAATGTCACTCTCGTATATGTTTCTAGCTGCTCATAGTAGCTTCGTATCTAGTATACGGACATAAAAGTGGCATCCAGCTTCACAGCTAAGAAGAGTTACACCCCCAGAACTATAAAACTATCTACTTAAGCTTGAAGTGCAGGGTAAAATGTTAATAAATGCCAACTTTATTGTGAAAAAAGATATTATATTGTGAATCTCTGATGGATACAGTACTGCCAAACAATTGCACTGTACCTTGAATGTAGCAGAGGACAAGTTCAAGTGCCACGTTTGTTTTTCTTTTGTACATTTATCTTATTTATATGGTCTTGAGAGGCAATTTGAACCAGTTTTAAACTTGTATGTTTTATAAATAGACATCCGCTTTCAGAACTCTATATTATTGTATTGTGAATGTATGAATTGTGTATCTTATTTTGGTATTCTATATGAATTGTTAGTATTAAAGAAGAGAGTAGCTGTTTATGCTTATATTGTGTGTGATTGGTTGTGTACAACAATCCATTTCCTAAATATTTAGACTTTAACTTCCTATCAAAATTGTATAGTGTAATAAAGTGATACTATTTGCATTAGTTATACATCGATATAAGCTATATGAAGTTCAGTGTAAAATATATCTACAGTTTTGAAATGGTAGTTGCTGTAGACGACAATTTTGAAGGGCACTTGTTTGATTTGAGTACATTAAATATTTTTTATGCTTTTGTCTTTCATGTTTTTCAAGTTGAAACATTAGGTGGCTCTGTGCTCTTGGCGTGGTTGCTAGTGATTTATAAATCAAAGGTCAGCTTTTTATTGCTCTGGTTTGAAGGAAGAATTTCAAAACAGGGACACCGTAGGAAGTAGTGACACAGGGAATAACGCAGAGTGTTGTAACACTGTTATTTCTACAAATTGTTATTTTACTTTAAAACTCTGTGTAAATGTGACCTAGTTTTACACAATTATTAGGAAAATATTTTATCTGTCTCGATGCCTGTCAGCTCGTGGACCGCAGCATGGGAAGGATTTCGGTGACATTATCTACAGAGAAGCTTTTTAAAGTTTTAGTCATTGGGGATCTGGGGGTTGGGAAAAGCAGCATTGTCATGCGTTATGTTAATAAACGCTTTGATGAAACATACAAAGCATCCATTGGAGTTGACTTTGCCCTAAAGACAATTGAATGGGATCCCAAGACAGTGGTGAGACTACAGCTTTGGGATATTGGAGGTGAGTTTCAAAACTATAAAGCAAATTCCTGTACAAAAATACTGGATGAAGAGGCTAAATCTAATTTTATGGCATCTGTTATAAACTCTGTAGAGTCTGTAGTGAAAACACGATTTAAAAAGTTTCTCCAAAGCTTTTATCTGTAAACGTTTTAAATGCAGTAAAGTAATATCTCGATACATTTATTTATATATAATGTGTATTTGAATAGAGTATACCAGAGATACACTCACTAGCCACTGCATTAGGTATACATTTTCTACATAATATCTAATTGGCATGGCAGCAACTCAGTGCATTTAGGCATGTGAATGGTAAAGATGAACTGCTGAAGTTCAAACTGAGCATCAGAATTGGGAAGAAAGGTGATTTAAATGACTTTTAATGTAGTACGGGTGTTGGTGCCAGACAGGCTGGTCTGAGTATTTCAGAAACTGCTGATTTACTGGGATTTTTCCCCAAAAAACATCTATAGGGTTTAGGGAGAATGGTCCAAAAAAGAGAAAATGTCCAATGAGTGGCAGTTCTCTGGGTGAAAATGCCTTGTTGAGGACAGCAGAGAGGCCAGACTCCTCTGAGCTAAGACAACAGTAACTCAAATAACCACTTATTACAATAATGAATGAGCAATACATCAAACCTTGAAGCAGGTGGGCTTTAGCAGCAGAAGACCAGAAGTGTAAAAACACTGAAGTTACAGTTTGCACTGGCGCACCAAAATTGGACATATTGGAAAAACATTTCCTGGTCTGATGACTTTTGATTTTTTCAGCAACCTGTGGAAGGTAGGTACAGAATTTGGAAACCTGGCTCCATCCTGCCTTTTCATCAACAATTCAGACTGGTTGTGGTTACTGTGGGTTATTTTTTGGCACATTTTGGGCCTCTTAGTTCCATTTTTTAAACCCCACAGCCTACAGAGGATTGTTGTTGACCATGGCCACCCCTTTATGTCCACAGCGAACCCATCTTGTTACGACTGCTTCCAGTCACAAATGTCACAAATCCAGTAGCAAGGTGTACTTAATGAAGTGGGTGCTGAGTGTACATTTAAATTTAAAATGATAGAAAGTACACTTATTTGCCTAAAATATATTTTAAATAAACAAGAACTCTGGAGGAAGGCATTTTATTTGCACATAATATTCCAAAATTGCACATTTTTTAAAATTCATCCAAATCCATTTTTTCCCCTGTGGAAATTGTATTTTAGTTCTTTTTTGGTGACACAACTTTTATACACATTTTTAAAGTTAAATTTAAGTTTAAGTTTGCTGAATGCTTTAGTGCCTGGAAACTCAAGTCAAACTGCAGTGGGGTTTTTTTTTTTTTGATCCATTCTTTACTCAGAGCTAATTTTAATCCTAGCCAGTGTCCATGGAAACATATGATTTTATTTCAGAAAATTATCAGTAGTCTCTCAGTTCTTACATAACATTTAGGTTGCAGTCTGATTTGACATGATACTTCAGACCAAAAAGAAATAATAGCTGCCATGAGGAAAAAAAAGACACATTCCTACTTGCAGCCAGGTTTTATTAGAAGTTGAGCAAAAGGATCCATTACACACATAATTTTATTATCCCTCAAGGCCAAGAGAGGTTTAAGAACATGTCCCGAGTGTACTACAAAGAGGCGATGGGAGCAGTAGTGGTCTTTGACATTACAAACAGCTGCACCCTGGAGGCTGCCTCTGAGTGGAAGCAAGACCTGGATACCAAAGTGCGTCTTGACAGTGGCCAACCGATCCCTGCTGTCCTGCTGGCCAACAAATGCGACCTGACGGGGAGGGATGGAGCCTTGGTGTCCTCTCTGGACAGCTTTTGTAAAGACAACAGCTTCCTGGGCTGGTTTGAGACTTCTGCTAAGGTTTGTGCAACCATAGAAGGGGAATATGTGCCTTCAGTAACAGTCAGTGTTGGGTGTTTAGAGGTAATAACATTAGGATATTCAGCAGATCATTAACTGATTATCTGAGGGATTGGATTCTGTTTGACTAATTTAATAGATTTTATATCTAAAAATATTACTATTGCAAGTAAGCATACTGCATGAGATCCTGCATTAGACTTGCATGAGGGCATGCTTTATTGCATGTGTGAACTTTATCACTGCAGCTACTGCATATAACCTGTTTATATAAATATGTAAAAATATTAAAACACGCAGCCAAAAACTTAACCCGGCGGATGCACGCACAATGTTCTAAATCGTGTTCTTCCCTGCTTTTTTTTTTTAGGAAGATATAAATATTGAAGAGGCAGGTGCCTTCCTTGTCAAACAAATAATGCTGTGTGACACCAGCCTGTCCGTTGAAGAGCACCACTGGGATAGGATCAAAGTGAACCAGACTCCCACGGAGAGTCAGAGTCAGTCACTGTGCTGCGGGAGATCACTGTTCTGAGACAAAGAGCCAAACGAAAGCTACTGCTGGTTAAACAGAACCTGACCTGTTTGTGGTGCTGGGACATGAATCCACAGCCGCCTCAGTGAAGCTATGACAGAAAGCCACCAAGCTTCAGTAGCTTTATATTCATATTTCTGCTTTGCTGATTTTTCTCAATAATCTATGGACTGTGTGGGCTGCCTCATAAACACCTCTGTGGAGACAATGAGCTCATTCCTCTGATAAACCACTGATCCAGTCAGGATAATAAACAGATCAGCATGATACACATCCTGCTGGGAAAAGCCTGTGACACTCACTGCACAACCAAGACGTGCTAGTGAATGACCCACTATGATGAGGAGCCACAAGCTATCTAACGTTTATTCCCATGCAGAAAAACAGCGAAAATGTATATTTCATCAAATAGTCCTCATCAAATGACACTTTATTTGATTGCAGCTTCCACTGTGCCTTCGTCTGTTATGCAACCCATGCATATAATTATCTCTTAATCACTTTTGCAGTAAGATGAGCTAAGACCCATGCACAAGCAAGGCATCTCAGATTGATATGGCCAAAAGCAGAGAAAAGCTATCAGCATGACCTGATTTTGGTGGAGAAAAGAGATTTGTGAAAATGCCCAGAAAGTACACAGTGTCCTATACTGGGAGCAGAGCATTTAGCATCTATCTAACAAATATCAGAAGAGTGAGTGTATGTGACTGTATGTGTCAATGAAGTAAAATATCAGCCACTAAATTCTGGCTGAGATTGAAATAAAACCATTTGGAAGTAAATGACAAGCTCATCCATTCATCGCACACCCTCGACAGGTTACCAGGCTTATAAGTTCATTATTTCGTTAGTTTAGTTATTGCTACACTGCCTAAAGTAACTGGATAATTCTACGTTGATCAACTTAACAAATATATTTCTTGCCTCTTTTTCATGGACAGTTTGTTCATTTAAATCATGTCACCATGACCTTTTTAAAGGCTTGTAAATTTTATGCTTTAATCAGTTACAAGGTGTTTTAACAGAATACGTTTGAAATAATAACTTTTAATTGAGTGGTTTGTTTTAATGCTATTAATGTGAAATTAAAGTGCCTTCAAAGTCGGACATTTAAACCAGTGCAATGTACGATACCTTGTCTTGCTCATTGACATGTTTTGTGTTGCTCAGGTTATTTTTGCACACCAATCTGTTCTTTGCTGTCCTGTAGTTTTACTTTTCGGTGTCCTTGCAGTGCAGCAAGGGAACTGTTCTACATCCTGCCGCTGGTTACCTTTTCAGAGTAGCATTTGTCCAAATTCAGCCACTGTCTCCAGATGTGTCATGAGAATGGATTTAACCTTGGAGTATAATCACATAATGTTTTGTTATATCAGCAGTTGTTGACGTGGCATTAATTTGCATTACCATAAATTTCCCCCCAAATAGATTAAAAAGTTAAAAATGGGCACCATAATTTCCCATATTTATCCAAACCCCATCACAAATTCATCTGATCTCTACATGCTGATCAAAGGAGTTGCAGCATAAAAGCCAGCAAGGTAGTTTACCTCATGTAGCAATTGTGCCTGAGGCAAAACGATGGAAGAAGTAACACACAACTGCTAATTTTGGATGTATGTCCCAGTTTCTGGAGACCTACATTCAGAAGTCAAAGAGGGATGCTGGCCCCAATACTTTTTCACATCGGACACAAAAGCCCCGCTCCTTAACTTGTTTATAAATATGACAGTTTGAATGGATGGGAGCCTCACTCCCAGCAACAGATCCCATCACTTGTGCATTATTGATATTGCCCTGTTTTATCAACCCTCCGGCGTGCATTTTCTCTGGCAGCTTCGTTCATATATTCATGACTGCATGACAATTTCAATTTAGTCAAACTTGTGAATAGGTTTATAAAGCGTAAAGCTTTGTGCATAGCTTTGCTGTGCCTCTCACTGTCTCCCATTGTGCCTTGTGTGACCCATTTTATGATGTCCTGTGTGGAAAAAGTCTTTGAATAGAAGACATTTGCAGACATTCTCCTGCACCTACATTATATATGTTGATGTGCCCGAGTCCATAAATGCAAGAAAAGAAATGCTAGAATATGAATGAACCTATACCCTTTAAACTGACCACGTCCTGAACCATCAAGGGGCTCCATGATGACGGTCTGGAATCCTTACGTTGCTGTCCATGGTTCTGAATTTTTGTCACAAGGCGAGTTCTCAAACACAACAAAATACAGATTTAGAGGTTAATAGTTTTGCTAGTAGATGACGCCATCTAGTGCACAAAATATACCTGTGCAAAGACACTTTGAGAAGGGACACAAAGTGTTTTTTTCTTTTGTGTTGCTGTCCACATCAACACTGAGACAAACTGATTCTATCTGAAAATCCTGTTTCTGATTCTAAAGGGTTATTGGCAGTACTGAACCAGTCCTGTTTCCCCCATCAACCACCAACATGTTTTGCTTCATCGCATCATGTTTCTGAATCAGATTTTTAAATTTGTAGCTACATTTGCTGCATTTAAGTGTGATCTATAGCAGTTTAAAGGATAAGCTAATCAGATGTTTTGCATGTAATGATCTGCAAAATAACCAGTGCCAATGAAGCTACTACTTTTTTAAAAGCAATATTTAAAGTAGCATAAAATGCAAATACTCAACTTCTTCCACTTTGTGATCAGTGCTGTCTGTCAAATCCACAAACTGCACTGAAAATGTTTTTATTTATATTATTTGGTATGCATTCTTTTTTTCCCCCCAGCAGTATGAATAATTGAAGTTCATACAGTTATGATAAAAATAAAGTACTCACTCTTTCTATTCTAAGGTTTTACATATCAGGACATTATAAATAATAATAATAATGTGGTCCTTCAAGTCGGGCAAGTACAACCTCAGATAAACAACACATGACATATTACACCATGCCTTTATTTAACAAGAATTAAGCCAAAATGCAGAAGTAGACATACATGCAAAGCACATTCTCACAGGTTTCATAGGAATTACCTCTATAAACACAGACGATTTGACAGAGACTACCTGAAAAACATGTAACATTAACATGTACTTTGGTGTAGTATGGATGGTAGTAGGAGGTGGGGGTCTTTATCAATACCAAACGCTGAAGCAGTATAAAAAAAGAAAATACTAAAACACTGAATATAATACAGCATATTAGTACAAATACCTCATACCAACTGTCAGACACAGTGGTAGTGGGCTGATGATGGTCACTGAGTGAACTCCTCTTCATACTAAAGCATTTTGGAGTCAAATGTGAGACCATCTATCTTAAAGTCAAAGCTTTCTGAAATTAGGTAACGAAACAGGACAATGATCCAAAGCACAGCAGAAAAGAGACTGAGTTAATAAATTAAGCTTAAGAAATGAGAATACAATATGTTTTGTTTTGTTTTTGCAACAGTCAACAGGTAAGAAAGTGTCTAGAAGTCTATTATGTGTAGACAAAACACTGTAATCTTGTGTTAGATGCTTTTTTTGTGCTTGAATGATTTATAAGTCTAAAATTACATCACTCTTAAAATGGCCAGGTACAAGAACTGGACTGGAAATGGACAAAAGAGCAGCAAAGCAAAGCTTTGGCATTCAGAAAGTCTGAGCCATTGTAAAAATTTACAAGAAAATCTACTTGGAAGCAAAATATAGGAGCAGTTCAAGACTTTTTGCACAGTGTTGTATGTGATATATTATTGAAAGTCAATACAAAACCTTTGACAGAATTATATCCAGAAAAGAACCAAAACTAAACAATGTCTTAAATCGAATTTACAAAAAGGCTCTGACGTTTTAAACGTGTATTGCAAAGGCCATGGCTTCAATGTCTCATTAGGTTAACTCGACAATTTTCTGTCTTTTGTGTCTTCCACGTGACTTTGTCAGGTGTACCATTTAAGGGGAGCTGCTTAATTCCTGAATCAGTTAAAATAAAACTATATGCCCACATGTGAAGTTTTTTAATGGGCTAATTAAAAGAATGACATATCACAAAGGTGAATATTTAACCAGGTTTTCCAGCTTTGTGTCCAATTCTCTGCAGAGCCAAAATAACCTCAATCTTCTTCCTTGGGGAACATAAGGAATGAGGAAATACGGCCTATTTTTCAGACATGCACAATAGATTGGAATAGAATACCAGAGGAGTACCCTTATATCGCGTTTCAGTGGGAAAGGGCGTTAGTAAAAGATGCTTGTGGCTACATTGTCTCCCTGCGTTATTTGTTTGCACTTTTAAACCACTCTTCAAAGGTCTGACAGGTGTCACTGGGGTAAGGTTTTGCTTCCCTCCCAGCCCTCGAGCATTGAGGCTACTCGGGACTCTTCTTTAGCCAGCAGGGGGCCTCAGGGCTATCTGAATTCCTTGTGTTGCTATGTAAAAAAATTATAACTAAAAATTGTTTGAAGAGCTCACAGCGCCAAAAACGTTAAGATTGTGGCAAAAATAAGGACTTTGATTTTGAGGATTTTTTTAAATTATAATTGAATTTTGAGCCACACAAAATGACCATACATAGGTGTTTAGAAATAATAACACTCCCTCTATTAAACTTACAATAATTTAAGGATATTGATGTCTTTTAAATTGGTTTAATTTGCTATGATAGCTATCAAAATGTATACTGTATATAATGTATATGTATATAAATGTAAACCTATTTATGCTCTTCTTTTTTCTCAGCAGGTGTCAACGCAAGCAGTTTTAAAACGTTTTGTCAGCTCACATTCCGATCGAGGTCACCTAATCTGACGGGTCACGGAATACACCGTAACACCGGTCCTGCATCCGGGTGACGGCAGAGCGCAGACTCAATCCCCGCTGCAGTTCACTGCGTTTCCGTAGCCACTTTGCTACCCGCTGAGCCCTGGTTGGGGAAGGAGCTGGCGGAAACGACTGATCCCGGTCGACTAAACGCCAAAGCTGGCAATATAAATGGCGCATTAGGGCTGCTATCGGAAGGGACTCTCTAAACCAATGTTCGTGACTCGGGCGCTTTTGGAGAATGCGTTGGCAACACCCTCCGTAACATGTGAGATGTATACAGAAAGGTATTAACTGTGCGTTATTTCGGCTAACTAGCTAGCAGCTACCCCCTTCTCTGTATCCAATTTATGGTAGCTCGCTTGATCTGTTTTCTGAACCGTCGCTTGTGTACCGGAGGAAAATGAAGAAGTTTAATATTCGGAAGGTGCTGGACGGCTTGACAGCGGCTTCTTCCTCCTCCTCCGCAACTGCTCAGCCGGGTACTCCCAGGGAAAACGATGTTGTCCAGGAGACTTTACAGTCGGAGCATTTTCAGCTTTGCAAGGTGGGTTTCCGTTAATAACAGCTAACATTAACGAACTGACAGTCAGATGACAGCAGCGTGACACAAAAAAAGAAAGGAAAAAACGCTGGCTGCTTTTATTTCTGGATATTAATTTCATTATTTAGGATGGAAACCACTTGAATGTGCACACACCAGATTTAAAGTCACACACTTGAACACTACAATGTGATTTATTTATATGTAATTATTTTTTTAGTCTATTTTAGCCAGCCCTGCCTTGATGTAGTCCATAGTGGGCTGTTTGCATTGCTCTGAATCTTTGAAACTGTATATTCGTCACTGTAAAATATCATAAAATTACAACACAACACTCACCCACCCCATTTGGACATTGCTCACTTCTATTCATGCTGGAGGTGCAGGTCTAACGTGGGTTTTAATGCGAGTTGTTGAGGGCAACATCTGCAGCCTGTATTTCGTTTATCATAATAATAGTGGATCCACTGCAAATTTCCCATGTTATGTTTCAAAGGTGGTGAGAAGAACACTTTTTATTGCAAAAACTCCAACTCTAGTAAATATCCACCACCTCTCTTACCTTCAGCTAAACTTCTACTTGGATTTTTATTATTAGCCACCACCATCCACGAGTGCAGCAATCGCTTCAGAGCATAATCTTTGTGGGTACAGTGCATAAGAGCATGTGAGTGAACAGCTTTGGCAAAATAAATAAATAAAACTGATCATTTAAATCATAACCTCACAGGTCGCTACACAAGAGCTCCCCAGCCTCATTTTTAATCATGCACGGTTTAGTAATGCAGACTGTTAGGGCTGCCTGGAAAGGTTTCGCCCACCAGCTTCAACTCCAGC